TCGCAGTGCACGCCGATTGCCCCCTCGGAGACATCGCGTGCGTGCTCTTTGCCCAAACAAAACAACGCATAGATCGTGTGTGTCATCAGATGTTAAACAACGTCAACGTGGATGCACACATCCTTAAATGCTTTGCTAGTGCTCGCCATAATGAGATCAATAGAGATCGCTCTTACCACAGAAATGCACGCTTCAAACAAAACAGTCAATGAAGTCGAAGAAGAGAATGATGTGTAGCTCCCGGCGCCTATTTATACTATAGTCGCACCGGTAGTGACGTCATGGCTGTCGCCGGCCAACGAGTTGGTGTTTTTTCAATGTATGCTTCAGACACGGGTCATGACGAGGCGTTCCCCATAGCGACCCCTAGAAGACGCAGTTCGAAGTTCCCATGAAAGGGAACATGTAGGGCAGAACTTGATTTTATCCAACAGGAATTGTTTGGCATCACATACATTTTCTTCTTTGTAATTGCTGAAAAATGATCTGATTTTATGTTGATTTAAAAAAGAGACATGGATTAAATGCCTCTCTGAAGCCTGATAACACACTGACTCAACTAAACTCTTTGTTCATAAAGTTTTGGAAGCTTATCTTACATTACTGCTATTTCAGTTGCTTTTCAGTATTATTGTATCATGAAAATAAAAGTTTAATGTTTTTATTTTGTTCTGCTTTAATATTGTAATATTACGAGACATTGCTGTGCATTTTACAACCATGTGTAAACTGTTCAAATGACAATAAAAGACTAATGACCTTTTACACAACTGAACAGACACCTGGGAGCTATAAGAATTATTAATCAAATTGATAAGAATATGGATTCATTAAGAGGAAATTAAATCATAATCATTACATTTGTTTAATGCGCACCCCTTGTTTTTGTGTATGAATATGAAGCTGTGTTCACAGGTACACATATATCAGTGTCAATCTAAACACTATCAGTGTCAGAGTGTGATAGATATATAGATAGATATGAGCTCATAGTTGTGGTTTGGTTTGTTGTCTTTCAGCTCCACCACACTAACCAGTGAGGGAGGAGCAGCAGTTGTTCACTTTATTTCCATTTTAATGCATAATTATAAATACAGCTATTACCACCATAACAATAAAGAGCCATTAAAACATTGTTCCATTTTCCTTGTTCATTAAACACACCAGAATAGAACTTTTCATAATCGCAAATAAATATTGTTCAATTTGATACTGAATGAGTCTTGACAACATTCCTGTAGAAAATATTTGAGAGGAGGATCACGAACATCAAACATCAGTGATGCAGTTACACTGACAGTATCAGGTGAGTTTCATCTTCTCTTCATATAAACACACACAAGTTTAATATGTTATTAATGCGTGATATCTCTATTTCAGATCAACCCAGAGCAGTTTTAAATGTTTCTCCACAGAAGTGGTTGACTGAAGGAGATCCAGTGATTCTGATCTGTGAGGTTAAAGGCTCCTCTACAGGCTGGACATTCAGCTGGTACACTGAAACTGCTTCATCAGGTAAGATATAATGTGCTTCATGTGGTAACATCTGAATGAACTTGTTTCATAAAATATATTGCAGAGTTTAAAAAAAAATGTAATCAATCTGAATGCCTTGATTATACCACCAAAGGTAATTTATAAGACTTTATAAGACTAAAACTATAAAAATTAGGTAACTGCACATTCTCACTTTATACAGACTACAGTAATCGTTATAAACTGCTCTCAGACAGCAGCAGAGGAGCTGGAGGAAACTACACTGTCAGTTCTGCTGCTCTAAAACACACAGGAGTTTATGTGTGCAGAGCGAACAGAGGAAAACCAGCCTATAGCACATGGAACAGCAATAAACAACCACTATGGGTCACTGGTGAGTTCATATATATATATATATATATATTAAAAGTAAAAATTCAGAAAAATAATTGGATTAAATTTTTTTTTTTGCTGTATTGATTTAAAAAATATATTGTATTGAGTATTGAACAAACTCAAAATGCTACAACTCAAAACATTATTGAGCAAATATAGTTCACAAATGTCTTTAGAAATAAGTATTTTTTTTCAACTATAATGTTGTATCAATATTTTATTTTTAAAATAGATATCACTATTCTCCCACCATGATTCTGAAAAAAAACAGGCAACTAAACAAAATAACATGTAATTAACTAGAGTTTCTAGTAAAAAAGTGCTGCAGTCTATTTATAAAATACAATATTCAACAAATAAATGTAAAAAAGTTAAACAAATGATTAATAGCTCATAACTAAATGACTCGCTCATAAAGACTTTGCTTTTTGAAAGGTGCCTCTAAATAAAATGCATTATTATTATTATTATTATTATTATTATTATTATTATTATTATTATTATTGTTGTTGTTGTTGTTGATGTTGTTGTTGTCATCACATTGTTTATGTATTCATACTATATTCTTATTATTTGTCAGCTCATATTTCCTCTGTTTCTGTAGTTGGTGTGATTCTGGAGAGTCCTATTCATCCTGTGACTGAAGGAGATACTCTGACTCTGCACTGTTTATATAAACATTCAACCCCACCAAACCTCAGAGCTGATTTCTATAAAGATGGATCACTCATCCAGAATCAAACTACAGAGATGATCATCTCTACTGTCTCAAAGTCACATGAGGGTTTCTACTACTGCAAACACCCAGAGAGAGGAGAGTCACCCAAGAGCTGGATCTCAGTCACAGGTGAGACTGTACATCAATAAACACTAATAAAATGTTCCTCTAATTTATAGATGTTAATTGCTCTTATATTATGATTAGGATAAAGTGATTTAGTATTCCTGCTTTTTTTCATGTTGCTCTCAGAGTTTCAAATCTAGCTCTAGTCCATGATATATGAGTAAAAGATGAGTTTGAGAGAGGAAGTGTGCAGTTAGTGCTGTTTGTGAAAGAGAAATGCACTCTGTTGTGTTGTAGATCAGTGTGTTTGTTCAGTCATTCAGTTTGTGCTTTGTAATCAGATCTGTTGGTTTGTTTTTCATAGTTAATGTCCCTGTTGTCTTAAGCAGATATTCACTAGTACACAGTTAGTAAGAGTTAATTTATTTCTCTGTTTGTGTTCAGACTGTTGGCCTGACGTTTCCTAAACATTTCTCTGCTGTGATGATGAAAAGGGGTGGGGGAAAATTGATACAGCAGAGTATAGCGATATTTTCCTTGGCGACAATGTATCAGTGTACAAGTACAGTACACTAGGTATTGATTATATAAATATATGTTTTAAAATAAATATAGAAATAGAAATTCCTGAGTGAGTGATTCAGCACTACCCCTCTCTCTCTCTCTCTCTCTTTACAATTTATTTATTTATAATAAATGATTATTTACAATAAATGAAGCTGTCTATAATGCCAGCACGCTTCTGGTACAATGTATTTTTGTCTCTAATGCTGTGAGAGGGTGAAGTCTCCATCCCTGTTATACTTGGATGTCTAAAATATGACCCACACCTCCCCCTCAAATTAAAAAAATTCTCCCCATAAGAGTCAATCAAATGAATCTCACTCAGCCCTGATTTTTGACAGGTTTTTTTTACACTGACAGTATCAGGTGAGTTTCATCATTGCTTCATAAACACATACAAGTTTAACATGTTAGTAATTAATCATTTCTGTATTTCAGATAAACCCAGAGCAATTTTAATTGTTTCTCCACAGAAGTGGTTGACTGAAGGAGATCCAGTGACTCTGATCTGAGGTTAAAGGCTCCTCTACAGGCTGGACATTCAGCTGGTACACTAAAACTGTTTCATCAGGTAAGATATAGTGTGCTTCATGTGGTGTAAATTAGCTAGTTTTATTCAAGTCAAAATGATTATTTAAAGCTGCACTAGGGGGCTTTGGCATCTCTATCAGCAGCTGTGGTTAAAACACAAAATTGCATTTTTACGAGATGTCCTTTGATGCTGCTATCTGTGCAGATGAATCTGATGTTTTGAGAAATTCCCATAGTTACGGGGAATCACCGTAAAAACATCATACAGGTCAAGTGTCATATCTGTTGATTCTGGCATGGACTTCGTTACTTTCCCTTTTTGATTGCAGACTCTCCACAGTTCGAGTTTTCCAAGCAGTGAACAAGGCTATTGGTCACTATTCTACACAACAACACTTTATTGTAGCAACAAGCTGCACAACCACTCTTCAGCACCCAGATATTCAATGTTGTAGCCAGACCTTCTGCTCTGTGTACAAACATGACATAAACACAAAAGAACAAATGAAGTCTGAAATTTTTCGTGAAATCTGACCAAACCCCTCAAAATTTAAATCAAGATTGAGGGCTCACCATAGTGAATCGTGGTATAGCAAGAAAACAAATTATAACACATGGGCCAGATGGTCCATGATCCATACCTGGTATACAACCTGAATATCTTAATTAGGGTAATTGATTGGGGTCAGATCAGATAGAAATATCTCCTTTAGGTGATAACTGAAAATGTTCACTATTTACAGGCAACAGCAATCATTATCAGCTGCTCTCAGACAGTAGCAGAGGATCTGGAGGAAACTACACTGTCAGTTCTGCTGCTCTAAATCACACAGGAGTTTATGTGTGCAGAGCAAAGAGAGGAAAACTAGCCTATAACACAATCTACAGCAACAAACAACCACTATGGGTCACTGGTGAGTTCAAATACCAGTAGGAATCACATTTTCCTTGATCTTTTCAAAGGTTGATGTATGATAAAAACATACTGTGGACTGAGGAGGAAGTTTTGAATTCTGATACCTACAGTATGTTTTTATCGTACATCAACCTATGAAAAGATCATGGAAAATGAGAAGAATTGATTGTCTTCTCAGGTGTTTCTCCTCCAGTCTCTCTGATGGTCAGTCCCAGCAGAACTCAACACTTCACATCTGTCTCTCTCTCTCTGAGCTGTGAGGACCAGAGTAACTCTGATAGATGGAGAGTGAGAAGATACACAGACAATGAGCAGCTGGAAGATTGTTCATCACTGTGGGGATCACAAACAGGATCTACATGTACAATCAACTTCACCAGCACATCAGACACTGGAGTGTACTGGTGTCAGTCTGAATCTGGAGAGATCTATCATCCTGTTAATATCACTGTACACTGTGAGTCAGAGTTAAAAAAAAATCTTTAATGGTTTTATTATTGCCACCAAGTTGTTGATATAGTCTTACTATTTGTAATCAGCACATGTTTCCTCTGTTATTTAGCTGCTGTGATTCTGGAGAGTCCTGTTCATTCTGTGATGGCTATTGAAATGTTCCCGTCTCATTTACAGAATGTGGATCTAAATATATGTTTCTCATCTTCAGCAGCCTCAGGATATGATGATCTCAATCCCATGATAATTGGAGTGACTGCAGGACTGACTGTCACATTTTTGATCATCGTCTTCTTGGTCCTGCTGTGGCGCAACAGACACAACAAAGGTTCATCATCTGCCATTACAATTTAATGACACATTTGCAGACACTAACTCTGATCCTAAACCTTGTGAGCTTTTTCAGGCTGGGAGACCAACTTAAACAAGCCTAGGTTTGTTATTTATTTAATACTGAAAAGTACTGATAATATAATAATATTCATGTAATAATTAAAGTCAAGTTCTCCATCCTCTCCGATGTTTGTGTCATGCATGAGTTGTAAAGTGCATATATAAGGTGCTTCAAATGAGTCATTTATCACTTTCTATTTCAGTTAGGATGCGGTCCACATAGGCAGTGAAGCAGCTCACTGGGGTTTAGAACAGATTCAGTGTGTGGTGAAGATTCAGATATAATGAATTATAGCACTATATTATTTTCCAAAGATGTATGCATAAAGGAGATTAAAGTCATTTTTCTGACTATCTAATTTCCTCAGAACATTTACATAATCATTGTGTGTTTGACTAGGTGGAAGATCTCAGTCTCCCTCTAGTGTCAGTCAACAGCAGAACAGCAGTCAGCCATCAGAACAGACCCAGAGTCAAGCGGGAAACAACACACTGCTGTCTGGTCAGTCTTTACCTGTTAACTATATGTAGCGTCTGGACCACTCAAACACACAATATATATTTTGT